ACAAGTCTCAAAAAAAAAAAAAAAATTAAACAGCCAGCAGGTGGCTAATGGGGCACTCCAGACACAGTGGTGAGATGTGGGGCCCTGAAACATGCTTCCTTCACCCCTACCTCCTACTTGAGCCTCTTCAGAAAGCTGCCAGAGCAGGCTGAGGATTACGTCCCACCAGTGCTGCGTCTCCTGGAGAAGAGGCAAGAGCTGGTAGATGCAGACCAGGCCCTGCAGGCCCAGAAGGAGGTGAGCCCCGACTACTGTAACGAGGTGGTGAGCCAGCGGATGGGAAGTGATGGAGCCAATTTATTAGTGACAAGGTCTGAGACAAGTGATTTTACCACTCCAAGCCTTGATTTCCTCATCTGTCAAATGGGGATCAAATGAGACCAGCTGTTGGTGCAAATAAATTTGTGAGCATTGAGTATGTGCTGGGCACTGCATTAAGACCTGGAGGTCTTACAATGGTCCCTGCCCTTGTGGGGCTCACAGTCTGGAGAGGAAAGCAAGTAAGTGTTCAGGTGGTGACTGCTACAGGCAAGAAGCACTGGGCAGGGGTTGTGGGAGCCCAAAAGAAGTCCCTACCTCCCCATGGGGGTGGTCAAGGAGGGCTTTTTGGAGGAAGTAATGTCTTGGGGATTGCTGAAGGGCAAGTCGGCTTATCCAGCAAAGGCGAAAGGGATAAGGAAGGAAAAACAGGCAGAGAAAAACCATACACAAAGACTGGCTGGAAGGCAAGAACCACACACAGGTGGTTAAGCGGCCGGAAGACAGAGTATGGGAGGAGAGAGGGTAAGATGAGGCCTGAGGGAAGCACAGGGACACTGGCATTCGGGGGCTGGAGGAGGGTGTTTCGGCTTCATCCCTGGGTGATGGGAGCCACGGATGGGTTGAGCAGGGAGCAGCCACAGATTAGGGACAACAGGTGGAAGGGGTTAAGTGTGAACCTGAGAGCATGGGAGGACCCGGACCCCCAAACCCACATAGACAACCCACTCCTCACCCCCAGGTGTTCCGCACCAGAATGGCAGCTCTGAAACAGCGCTGGGAACAGCTGGAACAGAAGGAGCGGGAGCTAAAGGGGTCGTTCATCCGCTTTGACAAGTTTTTGCAGGTAGGTGGAGACTCCGGGGGGGGGCGGGGTCTATGGGTAGCAGCTCACACCCCCATAGGAGCCCGGCAGGTAACAAAAAGAAAAGAAGTGGTTTTCGTCATGCAAAAGGAAACGGCGGGAAACACACGCCGATGAAGAAAAAAAAAAAAAAAAAAAAGCGGGCGGGGGAATTGGGTGAAGAGCCAGTTGCTGAGCCAGGCCTGCTGGCTGCCCCTGGTTTTGCGCGCGAATGTCAGGGCAGGATGGAGGTGCCGAACTCCCCGCCAGCTCCCGATTCCTGAAAATCGCCTTCTCCCCACCTTACTCCCCAGGACTCCGAGGCCCGGCGCAATCGCGCGCTGCGGAGGGCGGCGGAGGAGCGACACCAGGCGAGCCGCCGAGAGGCGGAGGCGCTGCGTCTGCGGACCCAGCTCGAGGAGCTACGGCAGGAACGCGCGCGGCTGCAGCGCCGGCTTAAGCGCCTGGAGCCCTGCGCGCGCCTGCTGGAGCAAGCGCTGGAGCTGCTGCCAGGGGTGAGTCCCGGGAAGAAGGCTGGGAGCTCGGCGCCACCGCGCGGCGCTGAGTGGCTTAGGGACGGCTTCGGCCCGGCGAACTACTGTAGCGCTGAACTACTGGAGTTCTTGGCGGCATGCCAAGAACTATCGCTTATGGAGTGCTCACTGTATGCCAGGGATACGCTTTAGTTTTTGTGGTTGTTAGTTTTGGAGTATTTTTGAGACAGTGTCTCGCTTTGTCACCAGGCTGGAGTGCATTGGCGCGATCACGGCTCACTGCAGCCTCGACTTCCTGGGCTCAAGGGATCCTCTTGCTTCTGCCTACCAAGTAGCTGGGACCACAGGCGCATGCCACCACGCCTGGCTATTTTTTAAATTATTTTTAGTAGAGACAGTGGTCTTGCGATGTTGCCCAGGCTGGTTTCGAACTCCTGGGCTCAAGCGATCCTCCCACCTCAGCTCCCAAAGTGCTGGGATTACAGGTGTGAGCCACCGCCCACGTTTTGGTTTTGAATCCTCCCCAAAGTCCAGTGAAGTGAGTCCTGTTATTGTCAACTGTCAACCCCATTTTACAGCTAGGAAAACTGAAGATTAAGAAAGCTAACTCTGGCCGGGCGCAAGTGGCTCACGCCTGTAATCCCAACACTTTGGGAAGCCAAAGCGGGAGGATTGCTTGAAGCCAGGAGTTCGAGACCAGTCTGGGTAACATAGAGTGACTCCTGTCTCTACAAAAAATTAGCCCGGCGTGGTGGCGTGTGACTATAGTCCCAGCTACTCTGGAGCGGAGATGGGAGGATCGCTTGAGCCCAGGAGTTCGAGATGACAGTGAGCTATGATCGCGCCACTGCACTCCACCCCAGGTGACAGAGGGAGACCTTGTCTCTAACAAACGGAGGTTGACATTTAAGTCACTTTCCAGAAAGATTATTCCAATAATAAGGAACGCCGGCGGCCAGATGGGATGGGGAGGGTAGGGGACTGCAGGCCCATGTGAGTCCCTTCCCCGCCCCCAATTCTAGTTCCAAGAGGTCCCGGAACTGGTGGCGCGCTTCGACGGCCTGGCCCAGACACAGGCGGCGCTGAGGCTCAGGGAGCGCGAGCGGCTAGCGGAGCTGGAGGCGGCGCGAGCGCGACTGCAGCAGCTGCGGGACGCCTGGCCGGACGAGGTGCTCGCACAGGGCCAGAGGCGGGCGCAGCTGCAGGAGCGCCTGGAGGCTGCCAGGGAGCGTACGCTGCAGTGGGTACGGCCCGCCCTCCGTCGGGGGCGCTCGGGACCCCAGGCTTCCACAGCCGGGCGGGGAGGAGCGCCAGGGCTGATGAGGACAGATGGGGCAATGCGTACCCCAGAGGGTTCGCTGCACTAAGGAGGGCATCTCAGGCATCACCGAGCCCTTTCGGGCATGAGGCCCCGCCCTATCCGCCGGCACGAGCCTCCTGCAACCCTCTCCCGAGAGCACTTGACTGCCTGACTGGCAGAAGTGGATGGGAAGAATGCCGGGCGCTGTGGCTCATGCCTGTAATCCCAACATTTTGGGAGGCCGAGAGGGGCGGATCACCTCAGGTCGTGAGTTCGAGACCAGCCTAGCCAACATGGTAAAACCCTGTCTCTACTAAAAATACAAAAATTAGCCAGGTCCACTGGCAGGCGCCTGTAGTCCCAGCTACTCGGGAGGCTGAAGGAGGAGAATCGCTAGGTCCCAGGAGGCGGTGGTTGCAGTGAGCTGAGATCAGGCCACTGCACTCCAGCCTGGGCAACAAAGCTAGACTCCATCTCAAAAAGAAAAAAAAACAAAAAAATGTGGCTGTGAAGAGAGGGCAGCCCGCCTCTGGCCAGTTGCCATAATTGGGAGCAGGGTGGGTGTTCTCCAGGAATCCAAGTGGATTCAGATTCAGAACACAGCAGCGGAGAAGACTCTGCTCCTGGGACGCAGCAGGATGGCCGTTCTCAACCTGTTCCAGCTAGTGTGCCAGCATCAGAGGCAGCCGCCCACCCTGGACGTTGAGGACACGGAGGGACAACTAGAGCAGGTGAGGGCCCCTCTTTATGGCACCGCCAGCCCCCAAACACTCCCTCTTTGGAAAAATCAGGTGCCTAAAACCCCACAGTTAGCAACACCTTCTCTGGGTTAAGCATGGCCCTCTAAGGTCAGAGCCCTTGCCCCAGCCGTGGCTCGATCACCACGCAGGCACCAGGTCTAGGATGGATTCCTGAGTGTGTCTTGGCTCTGACAGTGGCCAGAAGAAAGCCATGTCCCTCTCTGCGATGAAGCTAGACTCTATCTCAAAAAGAAAAAAAAAAAAAGTGGCTGGTCTCAATGCCCTCCCTCTACCAGGAAGGCCAGGGTTTGTGCTGAGTCCCTCTTTTCTCACAGGATCCAACAGCCCACACATGTGGCAACAACTGTAAAAAATCATGAGGTCCAGACTCACTCTTCATTAATCTCTGGCCCTCTGGCTCCCTGCTTCCTGCACAGAGAGGCCTCAGCTTCCGCAGGGAAGGTGAGGGTGGGATTAGGTTGAGTTGTGTAGCGTAGAATGTGACATAGGCTTTTTTTTTTTTTAGACAGAGTCTAGCCCTGTGTCACCCAGGCTGGAGTGCAGTGACACGATCTCGGCTCACTGCAACCTCTGCCTCCTGGTGATTCTCCTGCCTCAGCCTCTCAAATAGTTGGGATTACAGGCACACACCACACCTGGCTAATTTTGTATTTTTAGTAGAGATGGGGTTTCACCATGTTGGCCAGGCTGGTCTCAAGCTCCCAACCTCAAGTTATCCTCCCACCTCAGCCTCCCAAAGTGCTAGGATTACAGGTGTGAGCCACCGCACTCAGCATGACATAGGTTTACAATGGAGGGAGATTTCAGACTTCAAACACTTTCTTGTTTCTAGTGGGTATACCCAAAGCGTGGCCCCTTTGAGAAGTGGAGGCAAAGTAAAGGGAGGCATCCCACCTTTTCCCCAACCCATTCCCATTCCTGTTCTGCCCAATGGCCAGGATTCCAACCGAACACCAAGACCTGGATCCTGGGAATCTGCTTCGCCCCTCCTAGTTGGTTGGATGCATCAATGCCACTGTTCTTCCCAGCCTGGCCTGTTACCTGGTTACCGTGTGGCACATGAGACTAGCAGAAACACAGGCTTGGCGTAAACAGGAAAAAGTCAGTCCCTTTTCTTTAAGTCCAAGTGGAGTAGTGGAAATTAAGAAGGAACAAAATCTGTAACCGATTGTAATTAATTAGTTGTAAACAACACTGCACTAGGACCAGATCATCTCTTTTCAAAATCAACTCTGCCTGTCACGGAGAAAGGCTCCATGGAGGGACACTATGCCTTTTCCCACCTCCCCTAACACTCCCTGGCCTCCGGGCCTGGGACTCCCACTGTCCTGCAGCTGCCAGAATTCAGTAACAGCTTCATTTATTCATTGCATTTTCATTATTTTTCCAGTTGCCCCCTAGTTAGGACAAGGGGTAATTATTTTTCTCCATTTTTGGTGGAGATAAAGTTTCCTTCTCAGTTGTTGATACAATGACGAATATGAGGGGAGCCCACAGATGGTTGTAAGTTCACCCTCAAGTCCTAGTTTTTACAATAGATCCATGGCATTCATTAAGTTCATATTCATACAGAAGTTAATTAAAACACAATAAAGGACGGCCACCCATGGAGATAAGAGTAGATCACAAACCAATGAATATGACTGATCCAGGTACAAGAAAATAAAGCTGATTGATATAAATGAAAATACTAATTGGACAGTGCAGGTGACAGCAGCAAGGAAGCTGTGAAGGTGTCTGCTCACGCAGCAGTTGGGAAGGTTAGCCTGAGGCTTTTAAAACGCAGAACAGTTTAGGATCTCAGTCACCGCCTCTGGGAACCACCATCACTGCTGTTCTTTTAATGAGGGGGTCTCCAGTCCCCACCCTGCCTTTTGGCCTCCCCGCGTGTTGAGGGATGGGGGCTGGACAGTGGCTCTGGGGCTGGGATGTGACTTCGTGGTGGGCTCCCCCCCAGGTGAAGCTGTTCATGCAGGACCTCTCTGCCATGCTGGCTGGCCTGGGTCAGGCTGAGCCTGCGGCCCCTGCCTCCTAGCCCTGACCCAGGTGAGTAGCGGGAGAGGGGATCCCTAAGAGACCCTGAGATAGGAGGGCCCCCATTTCCATTGGGGTGTGGACTGAGTGGCTCTTCCTGAATCTGTTTCCTCATTGGGAAGATGGGAGGGCTGTGCCTGTTCAGAGTGCTGTGGGCCTGCCATGAGGGGCACATAGCAAGCACTCAATAAGTACATGCCCTGATGAGGAGGTGATGGGAAGGTCAAGGGGCTATGTGTGGGGCAACTGCCTCTAAAATGAGATCAGACCAGGCCCTCCCTGCCAGGGTGGCTGGGGCATGAAAAAAGCTCTTTGTCAGGTCTCAGAGCAGGGTCCATGCTAGATGAGAGATCACCAAGGCCCCTCCACTATGGACTCTGCCAGGTGAGGGGCCCAGCCTGAGAATTCAGCTGCTAGGGCCACCCTTGACCTTCTCAGAACCTCAAACAGGGGGTGGGTGGTGAGAAGACAGAGGGCAGGCCAGGTTCTGACCTCCAGGTGTGGAGGGGCCGAGTTAACCTCTTCATAGCCAGAGGGGAGCAGCTGTGCCCTTGCCCCGGGGCTGCACATCCTGTTCCCCTCCCACAGCCCACTCCCAGCTGCGACCATGTCCCGGTGGGAGGAAGGCGGACCAACTCCCACCTCCGGCACCTGGCTTGTGCTCTGAGCCTCAATTTCCTCATCGCTAAATGGACACAGCAGCAGAACCTACCCTGGGGAGACCCACAACTCCTCTGCCACATTAGCTGGGATTTTAGTACCTGGGTCTCTCCATTCCAACTCCCCAAGTAGACTGCACTCCTGGCCCACCAGCAGTGCTCAACAAAGATTTATTATATTAAAAATTCCATCGCCAAACCCTGAGGCACTCAGGGCTCTGACTGGTGCAGCCATGACCTCTGAACCCAGAACACATGGAAGCAGCAGCAGCTGAGTTGCCAACTCAGGTCTTGGCCTGCCTGGCTTTGCTGCCGAACTCCTACACACCCTTCAAGGCCCTGCTCAAATGTCTCTGTCTTAGGCTGACGCAGCTGCTGCCCTTCCGTGGCCATACAGTGCTCCTTTTCACGGACGATGGCTCCTGCAGGGAGTGCCCCCAGTGCCCAGCACTGGGCCAGGCACACAGTGGTGCACAGGAACGTCTGCCGATGCCCACCCTAAGGCCAATCAAGGAGCCACGGAGCTGGGTCCCGGTCCTCACATCCTCTTCCGCATCTTGCCCTTCTTGGAGCGGGCGACCCGGCCGAAGGCGCCCTGCTGCAGCTCCTGGACGCGGCGGCGGTTGCGGGCAGAGAGCTGCTTGAGGCCACCACGCTGCAGGAAGCGCAGCTTCTGGGCCCGGCGCCGCTGCTTCAGGATCTGCTGCTTGGTCTTGAGTTCCGGGCGGACGCAGCCTGCAGGGGTGCCTGGGGTGTGGGGCCGGGATGCACCTGCTGGGACAGGGATTCAGGGAGCTCAGCTGTCGGAATCACTCCCAAGATCCCCTCCTCCCAGAAGCTCGCAGACTCCTTCCCTGTCCCTACTCCTGTTCTGTGCTTCTTGCTGTGGCCCAGTGTCTGTACACAGTAGGTGGCTAATAAAGTTTTAGGCAGCCTCATGGAGTGGTCAATAACACGGGGCCAGAACTGCTGGGGTTCAAATCCCAGCTGTGACCTCTTGGACCCTGGGCAAGTCAGTAAACGGCTCTGTGCCTCAGTTTCCCCATCTGTGAATTATAAATCACAGCACCTCCTTCATGGGTGAAGAGAAAATGCATTTCCATGGTATCAAGTGCTCAGAACAAGGCCTGGCCCATAGTGAGAGCCTTTTAGGCATGACTGTTACTATTAAAAATTCTCCAACCAAGGAGTGTATGTTTCCACAGCACACCTACTGCTACTGCACGCTCTGAGGCCCCCCATAGTAACCGAAACAGACCTCAGCCTCTGTCTCCATGGACACCATGCTCTAGGCTTGTTAGATGAAAAGAGGGTGTAGATGAACCTTCCTTTAGGTGGGAGAGGAATCAGAGAAGGCCAGAGAGGGAGAGGGACTTGTCTGAGGTCACACAGCAAAGCAGCAGCAGCAGAGGTCAGCGGCCCTGCCCTAGCCCGACAGGTGGGCATCAGGTAGTCCATTCTTCTAGTTCTCCGGGAGGCAAGCACCACCCTCCCTGGCTCCCACTAAGTCCTGTGTCCTCCTCCTCCTCCCCATTCATAACAGCAGCCTCCCCAGCGCTCCTAGAGGGATGACCATTGGGGTGTTCCCAGCTGTCTCCAGTGGAGCCAGGGTGCCTCGCAGGACCTATCACCTCCAATGAGGACAAAAAAGGAAGAACAGCTGCTTTCTCCCAAAGCCCATAGGTCGCCCCCATCTCCCCAGCCCCTGCCCGCCCACTGCACGGCACTGCTCACAGCAGAAGCTGCTGTTTCACCCAGGTAAAAACAGGCTGAGAAGTGAGGTGTGGGTGGTCCCCACCCAGCCACGCTGACAAGGAGACACTCCCACAGATGGGAGAGCTGGAGGGGGAGGAGCCACAGAGAACAGGCCCAGGCAAATGCACGCAGGCTCACAGAGACACCCAGAGAAGGCAGTGACCAGCCCCAGAAGGTGGAGGGACACAGCAGTGGGTAACGCCATCTGAGAGAGACCCAGGACATGGTCCCAAACTCCCCTCTCCCCAGGGAAGGTCCCAGGTGGGAGCCTTGGGCAGCTGGGTGACTCAGGTTCAGTCACAGCCCTCATAAGGCACCTGTTTCCCGGCCTGTAAAATGGGTATTCGCAGTCACCTTGCCTCCCAGGTCATGTGTGGCCTTCCAGGACACAGCCTGCCTGCACCCAGCAAGTGGGAGCCCCTCCCTGACAGCAGCCCTTAAGCACAGGCTCTGGTAGACAGAGCCGGCTTCAAATCCACCTTAGCCTTTTACTGGCTGAGGGACCCAGGCCAGATTAAAGAGGTCGAAGTCCTCAAATGACCAAATGTACTATTTGCCAACCCACATTTCGAGGAAGTATCTTCCTCAGCATCCCCCGTGATCGCCTCCTCCCGGAACCAAAGCTGCTTCTGACTGCGTCTTTGGTGACATGAACTTCCCCACAGCATTGCTAAAAAGAACGTCACTCCTGAGGATGCCACAGGGGTTCAATTCATGCCCACTCTGTCAGGTCGAACCACATGCAGATGCCATTTTTGCAGGTGAAAATGGCCCACATAGCAGCATTCCCACAAGGTTCCACCTCCCGAGTTCTCTAGGATTTTAGACAATAGGCTTAATTAGGTGAACAGGGCATCTACCAGAAGTCATCCCCGTGGCTTCATCTGTGAAGTGGCCAGAGGTCGGGGACAAGGCACCTGAGGGGCACGGTGCTTCCCAGCGCCTGTCAGGTGATGCTCGTGACCATCAGAGACCGGGATAGTAGGAAGGGGGAACCTGTGGGTGTGGGGGTTGGGTGGGGGGATCATGGAGGGACCCAGGGTTTTGGCAGCATACCCCAACACACCGAGCTCTGGGGCTCTGCAGTAGCCCCTGCACCCGTGCCTCAGTGTTACCCTAATCTGACCATAACTGCTCTACCTACCTGTGCACCCATACTCCCCACCCTCCCTGGCTCTCACCTTGGCCACGGCCTCGCTTCCCACCTCTTCGCTCTGGGCCTCGCCGGTCAGATGCTCCTTCTTCGTCCGAGTCACGATCATCAATTTTCTGTTTCTGTTTCCACTTCTGATAGCTGGGAAACCTCGTTAAGGAAGCTGCGTGAAGCCCCTGGGACGGGAGAAGGCTCCTCCCCACACCGCCCCAGCAGACACAGTTCTGTTATCCCAGTCGCGGCTGAAGCTGCTGGGCCCGCCCCCAGCACACAGGTCCCACTTACTGGAGATGCGGCTGCTGAAGCCGCTGGGCCCGCCCCCAGCACAGGTCCCACTTATTGGAGATGCTGCTGCTGAAGCTGCTGGGCCCCGCCCCCAGCACAGGTCCCACTTATTGGAGATGCGGCTGCTGAAGCCGCTCAGCTCCGGCCCCTCATCCCCGGCCCCGCCCCCAGGTCCCACTTAATTGGAGCTGCTGCTGCTGAAGCTGCTCGGCCCCGCCCCTCCCTGGCCACGCCCCTCAGGATACAGGTCTCGCTTGTAGGAGCTGTTGATGTAGCGGCCACTCTCTGTCTTAATCTTCTTCTTGTCTTCCTGTCCTGACTTTCCCACAAACCGCTTCTTCTTACGGTCCCTGCAGGAGAGGGAGTTGGGACGGCTGCCGTGGAGGGAAACGCTTGGAGTGCCGGTTCCCGCTCAGGGCCTGTCTCCTCACCCGACCCTCTTGTCAGGTTGTTGGAGCATTAAAAGAAAGCAGTGCAGCCATGTCTGGCATGCAGTTGGCGCTCAATAAAGGTCAGAGGACTGCCGCCAGCACTGGGGCCTGGCTCAGGGACAAGGGCCTCCTGGAGGGTTTCCAATCCCCTCCCCCTTTCCAGCTGTGACCCTTGGTTGAGTCACATACATTCTCTAGACGCTAGAGTCCTCCTGAACAAATGGGTCCTGAGCCCTGTCTAGAAAGACTTGCCAGCAAAAAGGATAGACGGGGTCAAGATCTCTGTGGTGTGTGATCAAATCAAGGTGACAGAACAGCCAGGGGCCATCACACCTGCTGTGAGTGGTCACATGGGGGACAGCCAGGTCATAATCCAGGCTGTCCAGGATCAGATGGGAGTGAGGACGTCAGGGAGTTCACCCTGCCTGCTGGCATGAGGGGCAGCTCACTCGCTCACTCACCCCAGGCAGGGATGATGGAGGGGCAGCTAACTTGCTCACTCACCCTGGGCATGGATGGGCGGCTCACTCGCTCACTCACCCGGGGCATGGATGGGTGGGTCACTCGCTCACTCACCTGGGGCATGGATGGGTGGGTCACTCGCTCACTCACCACTTGAGCTGCTGCCGGCCCCTCGTCAGGTTCTGGGCTTCGTCCCCCATCAGGTCCAGGACAGCACCAGCCACCTGCTGCTCGAAGGCTCCCCCTTCCCCGCTGATGCTCAGGCTGCAGGGGGAAGGTGGGAGACCTAACTGGATTGATGGGATCCAGCAGACCTGCCTGCCCCACCCAGGACCCAGCCAGCCACTCACCCCCGCTCGCTGTCGAAGTCCTTGGGCCGGTAGGGGATGTAGAATTCCTGGTCCCGCTCCCAGGCCTCCTCCCTCCGCCTCTTGGCTCCCCTGTTGGGTCCTGACCGCTGCCGCTTCCGGCCCATGACCTCTGAGAAAATGTCCTGGCAGAGCACGGACCGAGGCCCAGCGTCATGCCTGTAGCCCCCTGGGGAGTCCCCACAGCCTCCCTACCCACCACCCTGGCCACAGGGGCCAGTGGCTTCCCGAGGACTTTCAAAGCTTCACTTTGCCATTTCTTAGCTGGGTGACAGTGTCTCCTGTGGGACCCTCAGTTTCCTCATCTGCACACACAGCGCAACCCCTGCCTCAGGGACCAGCAGAGGCAGGACAGCTAGGTAAGGGAGAGAGTGCCGGCTGGGGGAGACCCAACTCCCCATTCCAGCTCCACGCTCCAGGCTGTGTAACAGCCGGCCCTGCCCCTCTCTGCGCCTGGCCTGCTCTGAACAACGTGGACTAGGTCAGGGGTCTCCAGCTGGTCCTCTAGGCTACTGAACCCTCTGTCTAAACAAAACATGAGAGAGGGACATCCTGGGGGACACGCAGGCCCAAGACCCACCTACCAGGTGAATGGGACACTTCATGGTCCTCCCTCTGAGTGAGACCCGCACGTCTCACTGCAGAAGCCCTGATGTGTTTGGTGGCTGGTGATGCCCTGGACCCCACTGAGGGTGTCATGTTGTACACAGCTTCTCAGGCTAAAGATCTGGCCCCAGTTTTAAACGAGGGACAGTGGACAAGAACCATACCCCGACTCTGCAGATGGGAAGCTGACAGCATCCACCTCCATCCACTGCTCAAAGCCCCTAGAACAGCTTCATGGGCTGCTGCGACTTAGCCACCCCTTCCCTGTACCCCAGGTCCAGGGTCCCCAGGGTGGAACCTGTACCTCCACACTCTCTCTCGCCTCCTCCTCCTCCTCCTCCTCTTTCTCAGGCTGCTTCTCCTGCAGTGCTGGGCAGCTCGGGGCTGGGCCCACTGGGCCCTCCTGCTGCTCCTGCCTCCCCTGCTGTCCCTGCTGGAAGCGGGCGATGGCCTTGTGGTCCTTCTGCCGCTTGGCGCGCATCACCTGACTGCACAGGTCTCGGCTGGAGGCGTTGATCTCAAATATAGTCTGTGGAGGGGACACCCAGTCCTTTGCCCACCAGCCTCCTACCCCTAACCCCACCCTTACCACTTGGTGGGCTCCCTATTGGCATTCTTCCCCAAGTCTTCCCCAGTGTCCAAGGTGGGCACTCTCATTATCTGCACTTCACAATTAGATAGACCCAGGCCAGGCGCAGTGGCTCATGCCTGTAATCCCAGCACTTTGGGAGGCTGAAGCAGGAGGATCACTTGAGGTCAGGAGTTCGACACCAGCCTGGCCAACACGGTGAAACCCCATCTCTGCTAAAGATACAAATATTAGCCAGGTGTGGTGGTGGGCACCTGTAGTCCCAGCTACTGACGAGGCTGAGGCAGGAGAATCACTTGAATTCAGGAGGCAGAGGTTGCAGTGAGCCGAGATTGTACCACTGCACCCCAGCCTGGATAACAGAGCGAGACTCTATCTCAAAAATAAAACAAAAACACAAAGAGAGACCCAGGCCAGGTACCATGGCTCACGCCTGTAATCTCAGCACTTTGGGAGGCTGAGGCAGGAGGATCACCTGAGCCTAGGAGTTTGAGACCAGTCTAGGCAACATGACATGACCTCATCTCTACAAAAAATAAAAAAATTAGCCATGTGTGGTGGCATGCACCTGTAGTCCCAGCTACTCAGGAGGCTGAGGTAGGAGGATCACTTGAGCCCAGGAGGTCAAGGATGCAGTGAGCCATGATTGCACCACTGCACTCCAGCCTGGGTGACAAAGCAAGACCCTGTTTCAAAAACAAACAAAAACAAAAACCCAGAGAGGGTGAGTAACCAGCCCATGGTCACATGCTAGGAAAAACCATAGCTTGTTAACCCAAGTCCATTTGACTTCAAAACTGGCGCTCTTAACCATGACAGCTCCTCTCCTGATCCCAGATGGCTGGCAAGCTTACTCATTCCCGAGTAGGTTTTTCCTTTTGTGCATCCCCTTCCATATGCACAAGATGGGGTGCCTAATGGGAGTCAACAGTTGGGAAGGAGGGAAGGAAGCTCAGGAAAACAAGCTCTTCAGGCCTCTAACAGACCGGGAGCATGTCACTTCCCCTCATGAACCATCTGTTAAGTGCTAGGGAATGGCTGCCCCATGCCACCTGCTGTGGGCCAGCAGGGATGGTTCCAGAACAAGGGGCATCTCAAGAGAGGCTGTCAGAGCCAAGGCTGCAGGTTAAGATATAAGCTCAGATGAAAATCCCTGCTGGGGTCCTGCTGGGGGTCAGGACTGCAATCTGAGTCATGGCACCACCGTTGTCACTGTGTGACCCCAGGCCACGGGCCATCTGTCTCTGGCCTCCACTGAGCCAGGACTCAGAGCGTGGTCTCCGCCCGGCCCCACTCACCGCCCGGGAGCGGTAGTTCTTGATGCTGTCCACCAGCCTCAGCCGCTGCAGCTCCTCCTCCTCAAAACGCGAGCCTGGTGGGAAAGCAGTGAGGTGTCAGGCTGTGGGTGGGGTCAGCAAGACCCACCTGCCACCCCTACCCTGTAGAAGGACTCACTGAAGAGGGGGTGCAGGCCCAGCCCCACAAGGTCCAGCTCCTTGGCCCTCTTGATGGACTCGGGTGAGGGCGCTGGGCGCGAGCGCACATACTGCTGCTGGGCGTTGTCGGCTACGCGGGCCAGGCCCCGTAGCTCCAGCGATGCCTCCAGGGTGCTCTGCAGGCCACTGTCCTCCTCGTCCACCACACTCTGTGGCACCCGACCCAGCATGCCATCCACACCGGCCGCACCTGCACCCCACACAGCACCTTGTCAGGGGTCTTTCAGTCCAGCCCGCCTGTCCGCTGCCCGACCACCATTCCTGGGTCTCACCCTGGCTCCACAATCACAGGTAAATGGCTACAAAATAATCACTGCAAAGAACACCAGCACTTACGGAGGAGCTAGAGAGCCAGACACTTGAATACACCGACAGGGGTCAACAAACCGCGGCCGGCCGGCCAGCTGCCTGCTGCTTCTGTAAATGGCTCTATGGGAGCACAGCTGCACTACTCGCTGATGCATGGTCTCTGGCTGTTTTTGCACTACAAGGCCAGGGTTGAAGAGCCACCCTGGATCACATGGCCCACAGAGTCTAGAATATGTACTATCTGGCTCTAAAAACAAAACTTTGTTGGCCGGGCACGGTGGCTCATGCTTATAATCTCAGAGTTCTCGGAGGCTGAGGCAGGAGGATCACTTGAGGCCAGGAATTGGAGACCAGCCTGAGCAATGTAGTGACACTCCATGTCTACAAAAAAAATTTTAAATTAGCCGGGCATGGTGGTGTGCACCTGTAGTCTCTCAATTACTCATGGGGTGAGGCAGGAGGATCACTTGAGCCTGGGAGCCCAAGGCTGCAGTAAGCCATGATAGCGCCACTGTACTCCAGCCTGGGCGACAGAACAAGACTTTGTCTCTCTTAAAAACAAAAAACTAAAACAAAAAACAACCAACAGCAACTTTGCTGACTCCAGCATTAGAAATTCAATTTCCACAGCAACCCTGTTCTACAGATATGAAAACTGAGGCTTAGTGTGGTTCAGTTGCTACCAGGACTGTCAAATGAGTCAGTTGCAGAGACAGGATTCAATCTAGGAAGAGTCCATACTAGCAACAGCGATACTTACGGTAATAAGTAACAGCAACAGTAAGAGCAGAGGATGCCGGGGACACAGGCTTCCTATGTGCAAGCACTGTGCTGAGTTCATCATCATCATCTCCTTTACCTCACACCAAAAATATGAGGAAAGTACGTGCTTTCTTTTGTCGTCACGTTCTGACTTTCTACTACAGGACATCTACAACCGTAAGCCAGGCACGGCGGCTCACACCTGTAATCCCAGCACTTTGGAAGCCTCCAGCACAGATGGAGAATCACTTGAGTGCAGGAGTTCAAGACCCAGCTGGGCAACATAGTGAGACCCCCATCTCCACAAAAACTAAAAAATCATCCAGGCATGGTGGACCTGCCTGTATTCCCAGCTCCTCAAGAGGGTGAGGTAGGAGGACTGCCTGAGCCTAGGAGGTCAAGGGTGCAGTGAGCTGTGATCATGCCACTATACTCCAGCCTGGGTGACAGAGTGAGCCCCTCTCAAAAAAAAAAAAAAAAAAAAAAAAGGCAAAACAATGAAAGAAAAACACAAAAAGCCGAGGGAAGAGTGTGATGGACCTCATGGGCCCATCACCCACCGTCAATTACCAACATTTGGCCAATCTTGCAAGAAAGGCCCTGATGAGTCCATTTTAGAGATGAGGAAACTGAGGCTCCTGGAGGTTTAGAGATTGGCCCAGGGGCACATGGTGAGGGTCAGGGTCGGAAACCAAACCCTGCACTGGGTCAGGAGCCTGCCCTCTTCCCATCTCTCCAGATTAAGCACGTGCTGGGCCCTGCTGATCCCTGGCTAGCTCTGGAGCAAAAGCAGGATGTCTCTCCCTAAAAGCTAACTGCACCGGGGGTGGTTTCTGCCTGGACATTGTGGGAGGCTCCTTCCCTCCCTCTGCCCCTCCCACACCCATGCACAGCTCTCAACCCAGAAGGTCGGAGATCTGTAAAGCCTGCACAGGGCTGCGTGCTGCCTCTAGCCCTGAGCAGGCCCTGGGTGCAGGGTCCATTTCCTTCTGCTCCTGCCTGTCACCGGGTCCCTGGGGCTGCTGGGTGGGGCTGTGCTCACACCTCCCTCACTTGGCCCTTGCACTCTCGGCTTCGCTCCCAGGAAAATGCTTTGAAATGCCCCCTCCAATTCACCCCTGTGTGGCGCCCAACTGAGGCCTCCACCTCCGGTGACTGCACAGGCTGCCCCTGACCCCGGCCAGGCCCCACAGCCCTTTCCTGTGCCCTTGCATCTGACCCCAGACTCTCCACTGCAGAGTCTGCTTTCCAGCTGCCTCCAGGCATGGGCTGGGACACTGCAGGGCCACACGGTCACCTGAGGGGGCCACAGCCTGGACAGAGATCACCACTGGCTGCCAAGAGTGAACAGCCAAGGAGAAGGGGGCCCGGAGCTCTGAATCTTAGCTCCCCACCTTCCTGCGGTGTGCACGCGGGTAGGCCTGTCAGAGCCGTTTTCTCATCTGTGAAGCGGAGGTGACTGACAGCCCTCCCTCCAGCACAGATGGACAAATGAGGCAAGATGTATACAGGGCCCGGGAACCAGCAGGACTGCAGGTGGAAGCCCACAGTTGGAGGCCCATAGATGGAGGCCATGGTGATTCCTGTTGTCTGTCCCATGCATTCCCACTCTAGGGTGTATACAGAAACGTCCTGTGGGTGGCCGGGCACAGTGGCTCACACCTGTAATCCCAGCACTTTGGGAGGCCGAGGCAGGCAGATCACCTGAGGTCAGGAGTTCGAGACCAGCCTAGCCAACATGGTGAAACCCTGTCTCTACTAAAAACACAAAATTAGCTGGGCGTGGTGGTGTGTGCCTGTAGTCCCAGCTACTCAGGAGGCTGAGGCAGGAGAATTGCTTGAACCCAGGACGTGGAAGTTGTGGTGAGCCGAGACTGCGCCATTGCACTCCAGCCTGGGCAACAAGAGCGAAACTCTGTCTCAATGAAAGAAAAGAAAGAAAAGAAAGAGGCCGGGCACAGTGGCTCAAGCCTGTAATCCCAGCACTTTGGGAGGCCGAGACGGGCGGATCACGAGGTCAGGAGATCGAGACCATCCTGGCTAATATGGTGAAACCCCGTCTCTACTAAAAAATACAAAAAACTAGCCGGGCGAGGTGGTGGGCGCCTGTAGTCCCAGCTACTCGGGAGGCTGAGGCAGGAGAATGGCGTAAACCCGGGAGGCGGAGCTTGCAGTGAGCTGAGATCCGGCCACTGCACTCCAGCCTGGGCGACAAAGCGAGACTCCGTCTCAAAAAAAAAAAAAAAAAAAAAAGGAAGGAGGGAAGGAGGGAAGGAGGGAAGGAGGGAAGGAGGGAAGGAGGGAAGGAGGGAAGGAGGGAAGGAAGGAAGGAAGGAAGGAAGGAAGGAAGGAAGGAAGGAAGGAAGGAAGGAAGGAAGGAGGAAAGTCCTTTGGGCTTGGTCTAAAGGTGCCTCAGCCTCCCTCCCCGCCCCCTGTGCTCCCCTGAAAACTCAGTCAAGTATAGGGTCACACACTAGATGCCTGCAGGGGCTGGGCAGGCTATACCAACAGGAAAGGGAGGCAGGCAGGGGCTGCAGGGGACCAGGGAGCCTGTCTAATGGGGGCGCCACAGCTTAGCACCCAGATCCAACCGTTTCCTAGTAGATACCAGAAATCTGGATTGTTGTGGGAAATCCTGAGTTTAAAATAGAGGGATTAGCCAGGCACAGTGGCTTGCTTGAGCCTAGGAGTTGGACGCTGCAGCGAGCCGTGACTGCACCACTGCACTCCAGCCTGGGCAAGAGTAAGACCCCGTCTCATTAAAAAATAAAAGGAATCAGTCGGGAGCAGTGACTCACACCTGTAATCCCAGCACTTTGGGAGGTGGGTGAATCACCTGAGGTCAGGAGTTCGAGACCAGCCTGGCCAACATGGTAAAACCCTGTCTCTATTAAAAATACAATAAAAAATTAGCCAGGCATCTGTAGTCCCAGCTACTTGGGAGGCTGAGGCAAGAGAATGGCTTGAACCTGGGAAGCAGAGGTTGCAGTAAGCCAAGATCACACCACTGCACCCCAGCCTAGGCAACAGAGCGAGACTCCGTCTCAAAAAATATGAAATAAAAATAAAATAAAATAAAATAAAATAAAATAAGGAATCATCTTCTCCTGGGGTCAAACCCAGCCCCACCTCCTCCCACAGCCAAAATAGGGCCCATGAACTCTATGGAGACCCCTAACCCCACCCAGCCTCCACTCACCTGAGGGGTCCTCGAGGGGTCGGGCAAGGGCAAGGGAGCGGCCCAGGAACAGGTGCAGATCCAGCAGGTAGGGAATTTCGTCAGGGGCCACCAAGGAGTAGGCTGTGCCACTTCGGCCAGCCCGAGCCACACGGCCTGCAGCAAGGAGACGTTCAAGCTTAATTAAGCAAACTAGAAGAACCTGGACCCAGCATGAGTCCCACAGACCAGATCCTGAGCGGGTGAGCCTGGCCAGGCCTAGAACTCCCATAGCTGCTCTCCCCACCTATGCACAGGGAAGTTCAATCATGGTCTCTGGGTTGATCTGTGAGAATGTGGTCAAGCTGACACGGTGCCCTGGGAGACTAGCAGAAATACAGCAAAGGCCTGCTCATGAGCATGATCAACTCTTCAGTGCCCCCACTTTTGAGAATTGCCCCCAAAGATGCAAAGATTCACACACAAGGAGGTTTAGTATGGCCCTGACTAGGAGAGCCCCAAGTTTGGAACTAAAGGCTCAAGGATAGAGGACTGGTTAAGTGAATTAGCTGATGGCCACACAGTGGGGAATTAAACAGCTCAGAAAAAGAGTGGGCAAACTGCAGCCTACAGGGCCAGGCTAGTGGCACCCGCCTGTAATCACAGCACTTTGAGGGGCTAAGGCAGGAGAATCACTTGAGGCCAGGAGTTCAAGAACAACCTGGGCAAAATAGTAAGACCCCATGTCTACAAAAAATGAAAATTAGCCAAATGTGGTGGTGTGTGCCTGCAGCCCTAAGTACTTGGGAGGCTAAGCTGGGAGGATTGCTTGGATCTGGGAGTTCAAGCTTACTGTGAGCTATGACCATGCCACTGCACTAGAGCCCAAGCAACAGAGTAAGATCCTGGCCCCTTGCTTGTCTGTGTAAATAAAGATTTATTGGAACACAGCCACACTCATTTGTCTATGTAAATGAATAGGCAGCATTCACACTACACCAGCAGAGATGAACGGTTATGACAGAGACATTATGGTCCACAAAGCCTAACGTTTCATGTCTAGCCCCTTATAGAAAAGATGTGCCAACCCATCACAGAATGACATTTCATAGTAAACAAAAAACATTCGCTATGTGTGGTGATGTAAAAAGAAAAAAACAAAAAGCAAGTTATAAAAAAGAGCACCCAATGTGATTGCAATTTTGCATGAAATACATAAATCCCTACACAGCATTATATTCTGGCTTGTGTCTGTATCTTGGGAAAACAAGGTGTTATGACATTTGGAGATTTCATTTGAGGTTGTCCGACTGGCACTGTTGGTCTTGTGAGGCACAAGAAATTCCCTTTGGGGGGTCCTGGGGACCTCTCTAGGAACATGCAGAACCAGCCCTCCACACAGCAACGAAAACTAGGGGACAGCAGACAGCAACAAGAGGGAAGTGTGCTCACCATATGACACTTATGAATTAAAAGAAGGCAAAGAAAGTAGAGTAACAGTTACCAGGGGCTATGGGAGGGGAATAAGGAGATTTTGTCTGATGGGTAGAGCTTCAGTCTTGCAAGATGAAAAAGTTCTGGGGCTGAGCATGGTGGCTCACACCTGTAATCCCAGCACTTTGGGAGGCTGAGGCAGGCGGATCACTTGAGGTTAGAAGTTCAAGACCACCCTGGCCAACATGGTGAAATCCCCGTCTCTACTAAAAACACAAAAACTTAGCCAGGCGTGGTGCAAGCACCTGAAATCCCAACTACTTGGGAGGCTGATGCAAGAGAATAGCTGGAACCCAGGAGGTGAAGGTTGCAGTGAGCTGAGATCATGCCACTGCACTCCAGCCTGGGGGACAGAGCAAGACTCTATCTCAAAAAAAAAAAGGTTTTGGGGACAGATGGTGGTGATGGTTGCACAATGTGAACACACTCAATGCCACTCCACTGCACACTGGGAAATGGCAAAATGCTGAATTGTATGCTATGTCTACTTTACCACAACTTAAAATAGAAACATCAGAAGAATGGATGCACACCAAAATGACGGCCATGTCATCAAAGAGCAATGGGGAACAGCGATCTCTGAAATGAGACCACAGCTGCTCCGTGACTTACAAAGGGCTGCATCTCAATAAACCCAACAGCTGTCAAAAATACACTCACTGCACCTAACCCACTAAACGTCACAGCTCAGCCAGCCTGCCTTGAACATGCTCCAAACACTTCCATTAGCCTACCCTTAGGCAAAATCATCCCACAAATAGCCGATTTTAAAATAAAGTGTTGAATATCTCATGTAACTTATTGAATCTGTACTGAAAGAAAAAAATAGAATGGTTGTATGGGTGCTATTGTAAAGTCAAAAAAACCATAATCTGAATAATTGGGTCTTTTTTTTGTTTTTTGAGACAAGATCTTGCTCCGTTGCCCAGGCTGCAGTGCAGTGGCACAATAGGGAGTTTGAGACCAGCTTGAGCAATACAGCAAGGCTCTGTCTCTAAAACAAGCCCACAGCCACCCCATATGCAGTGTCAGGAGTTAAGCCTTGTACCCTCGGCTTCTGCCAGGATCCAGCACCCCTGCCTGCCCCAGGGCCAGCCACGGGCTGCTTACCCACACGGTGCAGGAAAAGCTTGCCCTTGGCAGGGAAGCTATAGTTGATGACATTGTCCAGCAGCGGGATGTCCAGGCCCCGGGCGGCCAGGTCAGTCACAATGAGGGCGGAGCACTTGCCAAGCGTGAATTTGGCAAGGTTGATCTTGCGGGCTGTCGGGTCTAGGGCACTGTAGATATGGGCGCAACTCACCCGCTGGGTCGTCAGCAGCTGCTCAGAGCAAAGATGGTAACAAAGTGAGAAGGAGACTTGGAGGAGAAAGGAAAGGAAGCCAGGCCATGGCGGGGGACGGGCACTGAGGTGCAGAGAGAAGACCATGGGTTCTGGAGTCTGGCACCCTTGGTCTGAATCCCAGCTTGCTGGGTGACGCCAGTTTGGGGAGGAATGGAGCTTACAACACCTCCCACCTCTCTGCAGGGCTGTCTGAGGATCAGAGATGATGTGTGCAGAGGGCCCTCATCAGAGATGATGTGTGCAGGGAAGCTGCAAATGCTACCTCAGTGCACAGGCCTTATCCTGATTCTGCTACAAACAAGCTGTGTGACCTTGGGCAAGTTACCAAACCTTTCTGTGCCTCATTTTCCTCATCTGTACGAATAACTGCCCCTTCTTTGTAGCCTTATTATGAGGATCACATGAGTCAGTATACACAGTGCTGAGAACAGAGTCTCAACATGGGACACTCATGATGGCGCTAGCTGTTCTTTACAGATTACTATTTAAACTGGGCGTGGTGGCTCACGCCTGTAATCCCAGCATTTCAGGAGACCAAGGCTGGAAAATCACTTAAGCCCAGAAGCTCAAGACTAGCCTGGGTAACACAGCAAGACACCATCTCTACAGAAAAAATAAAAATAAATCAATAAATAATGAGCTGGCATGGTCAGGCATGGCTCGTGCCTAGAGTCCCAGGTACTTGGGAGGCTGAGGTGGGTGGATCACTTGAGCCCAGAAGGCAGAGGCTGCAGTAAGCCATGATCATGCCACTACACTCCAGCCTGGCCAAAGGAGCAAAACTCTTGTCTCTAAAAAAAACTATTTAAAAATGACTATTTTGGTCTTACTCGCTGGTGACCCCAGCAGCTGCACAGAGGGAGCGTTGTTAACTGTGTGTGGAGTGAGCGAAACCCAGTGAACCATGTCCTCAGATAACAGACCCAGGTGTAGCCGACGGGGAGGCAGGCACTGACAGAAAGGGGCCCCCCGCCTTCTGGGGCACAGCGACTCCCCAGGCTTTGACCCAGGCGAGGGTCACACAGGGATAACACATAGGAAAAAACTCTGAGCCACTCACACATGCTAACAGCACTTCACACAGCTTACTACATGCAGGTCATGCCTCAATCTTAAGATGTCAAACAAACCAAACACTAAAAATCTACAGGAAAATGACAGGATGGCAGGGACAGGTTTCAAAATAACCTGGATGATAAGGGGAAATAATGGATGAAGGTCAAGACCAGCTATGAGCTGATAACAGTTGTACCTAGATAACGAGTACCCAGGAGTTCATCATATTATTTTCTGATCTTAGTATGTCTTTGAAATTTTCTCACAATAAAAAGTTTAGGCCAGGCGCTGTGGCTTACACCTGTAATCCCAGCACTTTGAGAGGCTGAGATGCGCAGATCACTTGAGGTCAGGAGTTCAAGACCCGCCTCGCCAACACAGCAAAACCCCGTCTCTAAGAAAAATGCAAAAATTAGACAGGCATGGTGGTGCCTGAAGTCTCAGCTACTCAGGAGGATGAGGCAGGAGAATCACTCAGACCTGGGAGGTGGAGGTTGCAGTGAGCTGAGATTGTGCCACTGCACCCCACTCTGGGTGACAGAGTGAGATGCCATTTCCAAAGGAAAAAAAAAAAAAAAAAAGAAATGTTTTCATAGTAAAAAGTTTAGGCTGGGCACAATGGCTCACACCTATAATCCCAGTACTGTGGGAGGCCAAGGTGGGAGGATCACCTGAGCCCAGAAGTTCAAGACCAGCTTGGGCAACTGAGTGAGAACCTGTCTTTACAACATACAAAAATAAGTAACCAATTAGCTGGGCATGGTGACAAGCACCAGAAGTCCCAAATACTCGGAAGGCTGAGGTGGGAGGACTGTTTGAGCCTGGAAGGTCAAGGCTGCAGTGAGCCGCGATTATGCCACTGCACTCCAGCCTGGATGGCAGAGTGAGGTTCCGTCTCAAAAAATAAAAATAAAAATAAAAATAAAAATAAAAATAAAAATAAAAATGACCATCTTGAGCCCAGGCCCAGGTTCCTCGTCCACTCTCATGCTGCCCTCTAGTGACCGCACAGGGAACTGCAGCTCCAAACTCCAGCTGAAGGAGGTGACGGTCCCACTCAGGACTGGGCTCACCTCAGTGAGGTACTCGGCATGGTGCTTCGTGGCCACAAACACCACGGTCTGGTCCTGGGGTCGCACCACGTTGCGCAGCAGGTGGAGCAGCACGGCAGCCTTGGTGTCCTCCCGCACGAGGAAGAAGGAGGTCTGTGGGGAGAGGGCATCACGAGTTGGCTTTTGGGATCCTGGCCCAGAGCCTGCAGGGCCCACCTGGACACACCCTCCTGGGACAGGACAGGTGCAGCCTCACCTTCAGCTGCTCGTTGAGCTTGGTGTCCACGTCAAGCCGGATGAGCACAGGCTCTGTGAGGCCTGCAGGAGACGTGGGGGAGAGTGGGGGTGTCGCAGAGGGACTGGACCCCCAGGCCCCAGCCCCACCCCCAGCCCCCATCTCCACCCCCAGCTCACGCACCAGCGCGGGCAAATTCCACCAGCAGTTTGGGCAGCGTGGCGGAGAAGAGCACCGTCTGGTGGCCCCCAGGGAGGCGGGCGATGATCTCCTGCAGCTGCTCTGCGAAGCCCATTTCAAAAAGCCTGGAGGGTAGAAGGCAAGACCAGGTCAGAGGGGGCCTCCGGTCCCTGGAGTTCCAACCTCAGCCATCCTTGTCCCCACAACTTCTGCGGTGTCCCAGGGCTCCTCTCTCTAACTCAGCCCACTCACACTTTATCGCGTGACTTCATCCTAAGCAACAATAACCTTGAAATCTGGAATCTGTCTCGGTTATGTTCTTACAAACTCATGCTGAAATAATCGACAGCAGCCCAGGCTGACTGCAGAGGGTCACGCCTGTAATCCAAGCACTTTGAGAGGCCAAGGTAGGAGGAGTTTGAGAACACCCTAGGCAAGACCCCATCTCTACAAAAAATAAAAAATTAGCTGGGGCCGGGCATGGTGGCTCACGCCTATAATCCCAGCACTCTGGGAGGCTGAAGCAGGTGGATCACCTGAGGTCAGGAGATCGAGACCATCCTGGCTAACATGGTGAAACCCCGCCCGTAATAAAAATACAAAAAAAAATTAGCCGGGCGTGGTGACAGGCGCCTTTAGTCCCAGCTACTCGGGAGGCTGAGGCAGGAGAATGGCATGAACCCGAGAGGCAGAGCCTGCAGTGAGCCGACATCGCACCACTAAACTCCAGCCTGGGTGACAGAGCGAGACTCCATCTCAAAAACAAAACAAAACAAAGCAAAACAAAACAAAACAAAGAAAACAATTAGCTAAGCATGGTGGCGAATGCCTATACCCCCAGCTACTCAGGAGGCTAAGGTGGGTGGATCCCTTGAGCCTGGGAGGTCGAGGCTGCAGTGAGCCATCATCACACCAGACTGGGCGACAGAGCAAGACCCTGTCACCATCAATCAATCAATGATAGCAGTCCCTCCCCTCTTTCCCCACCTCCCCCTCCCCAACTCTGCCAGGGAGGGTTCTAAGTACTTTACAAGTATCAAGTCTTCGGGTCCTCACAGCACCCCTGGGAGGTACATGCTACTTTATCCCCATTTTGCAGTTGAAGCAGCCAAGGCCCAGAGATGCCCAGTGATTTGCCCAAATTCAGAGCTGAAGTCGCAGAGCTAGGACTGGATCCCACTCCTGTCTGTCTCCTGAGTCCATGCTCTCAACTTTGTGCTTTTAAAAAAATATCTTTGAAATCCCACGTTAGGGGCCGGGCACTGTGGTTCGTGCCTGTAATCCCAGTACTTTGGGAGGCCGAGGCGGGTGGATCACCTGAGGTCAGGAGTTCGAGACCAGCCTGGCCAACATGGTTGAAACCCCATCTCTACTAAAAATACAAAATTAGCTGGGCATGGTGGCGTGTGCTTGTAACCCCAGCTACACAACAGGCTGAGGCAGGAGAATCACTTGAACCTGGGAGGCGGAGGTTGCAATGAGCCAAGATTGTGCCATTGCACTCTAGCCTGTGTGACAGAGCGAGACTCCATCTCAAAAATAAATGAATAAATAAATAAATCCCATGTTAGATGTCCTACTATTTATTTCAATACTCCTGAAATGCAAAATTATAAATATTGGTCAGAGAGCCCCACAGACGAGCTCCAGCACCACTTATGAGGAGGTCTGCAGCCCACATCTGGGGAGACACTGCTTCGATCTTGGCCACACGGGTCTCTCCCGGCAGAGCCTTCCTCTGGTTGACCTCTCTGCCTCCGCTTTCCCAGTTCAGACACAAGTGCTCAGGGCTGACCTGCAGCCTTACCGGTCGGCTTCATCGAACACCACGTATTCCACACTCTGCAGCTTCAGGTTCATTTCCACAGCCACATGCACCAACCGTCCGGGCGTGGCAATAATTCTGGAAGTGGGTGCACAGGCCAGGTGACCCCAGGGCCAGGGCCACCACCATAGTTCTCTTACACCCCCACCACTGGGAAGGGACCTCAGGGAGTCATTCCCAATCAACAAACTCACATGTCGGGATTTTCGTGCAGGGCTGCAAACTGGTCTTCCATCCTAGAGAGGAGAGAAGGGTTTTAGCTTGATAGAACAGGTCTCCGGTTTCCCTTCCCATAACCAAATGTCCAGGTGAGGCTGCACACCCCAACCCCAGGAACACACACCCGAGGCTTGGAACTGAGGAAAGGCCAGTGCTGAGGTGAGGCAAAGGCATTGCCCTGACAAGAGATACAAGCTGAAATATTCAAAAGAACGGTTATAACAGAGTTCCCCCAAAGAGATGGGCTCAACTACAGACCTCAATTCACTCCTTCTGTTGGTCCAGATAGCAACAAAGCTGCCTTCTACCCACAGCGCCCCCAGCAACTAACCCTGGAACTACCAGCTCCAACTAGAACTCAGGTTCCCCGGATCTCTGTCAGCTCTCATCCTTAAACCCTTTGGACACACATCCCTACTTTTAGTCCTCCTCTGAAGCACCCTTGGGATACCTGTAGGAGCCAGGGTAGCCCTGGGCCAGGACTAGCCCAGGGAGGCCTTTCTGACAATCACAAACTTTAGAAAGAATAAATGACAATGGAGACAAAAGCACTGAAAAGCAAACTCTCTGAGAATCAAGAGTGTTAACAGCAGCATCCTTAAACTTTCTCCCTTAAAGGGGCTGCTCTTTAAGGCAGAAACTGTGGGATAAGGCATGGAATGAGGCAGGAGACTGGATTCTGATCCCAGCTCCACTATGGAATCATTGCCTGGCTCTAACCTGTCACTTCCTCATTTTGCTCATCTGTAAAACAGGTGTGGCACCTACTACCTAGGAAGGGTGGTACCTGCACATCAGGCGATAATACAGTTTACGAATCTGAGCTATTATAAATATCCCTCAATTCCTGTGCTTTCTGCTTCCAAACAGCCCACGGCCAGGCATGGTGGCTTATGCCTGTAATCCTAACACTTTGGGAGGCCAAAGCAGCAGATCGCTGGAGCCCAGGAATTCAAGACCAGCCTAAGCAACACGGCGAGACCTCATCTCTACAAAAAACACAAAAATTAGCTGGGCTTGGTGGTGCACACCTGTAGTGCCAGCTACTGGGGAGGCTGACGTGGGAGGATCACTTGAGCCCAGGAGGCTGAGGCTGCTGTGAGCTGTGAGTGCGCCACTGCACTCCAGCCAGGGTGACAGAGCGAGACCTTGTGTCAAAATAAACAAACAAAAAACAAAAACAAAAACCAAGCCCACAATTAGGCATATTAAAGTAGATACACCTGTCTATCCTGTGAGCTGACGACTCTATTTCAGGAGCATCAGAACTTCTGAGTGGCAGTGCTTCTGTGGACAATTTATTTTAACATTTTATTGTAGGATTTCCTTTGTTGGTTTTTTTTTTTAAGCCAGTCAAATTTAGCAGTGAGGGGGTTGTACACCAACTTTAATGATACTAATGTTGGTAAGTTCTGATAACCTGCTACCACTGGACCAGCCTTGTTGGGTTTTTGTTTCGTTTTTTCTTTTTCTTTTGAGACAGAGTCTCGCTCCGTCACCCAGGTTGGAGTGCAGTAGTGCCATCTCGGCTCACTGCAACCTCTACCTCCCGGGTTCAAGTGATTCTCCTTTCTCAGCCTCCACTGTAGCTGGGATTACAGGCATGCGCCACCACGCCCAGCTAATTTTTGTATTTTTAGTACAGACAGGGTTCCACTATATTGGTCAGGCTGGTCTCGAACTCCTGACCTCAGAGGATCTGCCCGCCTCGGCCTCCCAGAGTGCTGGGATTACAGGCATTTCCCACTGGGCCCAGTCTTGTTGGTTTTTTTGAATGAGCACAGAAGTTGCCATTATTAATAAGCAACAGAGCTAAATCAAACTAATGTCCTGGAGACACAGAGATGTGCCTGCACGGTGGTAACTCTGGCGTGCGGTGCAGGGACCTTACCTGTCTCCACCTAGGATCAGGGCAGTCTTGAGGCCAGTGAACTTGCCTAGCTGAGAAGAGAAAGTGATTGAGAGAGGGCAGGAGTGAGATGACAGCACACTCGTGGCCTTTGTGCCCGGTCCCAAGTCAGCCCTCGCCTCCCACCTCTCCCCAAGCCCACACACACCTCCTTAGTGAACTTCAGGGTCTGCAGGGCCAGCTCTCGGGTGGGCGAGAGGATGAGGGCACGGGCCCCAGTCTGGGCACTGTGGGTCTTGAGCCGCTCGAACATGGGGAGGAGGAAGCAGGCCGTCTTGCCACTGCCCGTCCGGGCCATGGCCACCACGTCCTTGCCATCCAAGATCACTGGGATGGTCTAGAGAGGCACAAGCAGGGAAGGTCAGGGTCAGCTCCTCCCAAATACCACATAATCCAGAGCTTCAAGGTCCTGAGGAGTGGGCGTGCTACGGATCTCAGTGAATGGGCAGGCACCTGTCACCCAGCCTTAAGCCTATTCTTGCCCATTCTTTCAAAAGCCTGTTAGCACGCCTCTAAGGATAAGCGGCTCACTACCCCAACTCTTTCCATTGCTGGAACACCCTTCTTCAGGCAGAGCAGACTCTACCTCCCGTCCAGTCCTCCTCAGCACCCCAGAGAGATGGCTCCCACTGGGTGAAGCATCTGAGAACAATAATCATAATCCCTGGATGATAATAGGTGGCTGCGAGTTGCCTGAGCTGAGGCTTAGCTGTGGGAAGCCTCTGGGAGGCTCAACTGGCAGAAAGGCCCAGAGTCTCTGCTCAGCTTGGCCCAACCTTCTCCACTGAGGATGTGGGCACGCTAGCTGGGGCTTCAGCAGAGTAAAGGGGGCAAGAGATATGACAGCTGGGACAAGGGGTGGCTGTCAAGGGGCCAGACAAGAGGGCCATGTCAATCCTCCCTGGCCCTCACCAGTCGACCGCCCCACCCCTCACCTTCCTCTGGATGGGCGTCGGCACCTTGTACCCCTTCTTCATGATGCCTTTGAACACCGGGTAGCTTAGGCCTGGGAGAGACATGGAACCATCAGGGGGCCGAAGGAGTCCCCGCAGCACCAACCACAGAGAACTTTACAGGACAAGTGACAGCTTCATCAACGATAAACAACAAGAAAAAAAGCAATAAAGCAGAAACTGAAAGGTGAAATGAGACTTAGGAGACAGATCTGACTGGGGCACTTGAACCTTATTTGCTTTTCTGATGTGAACCCACTCTTGATGTCATGAGACAGTAGGGATCTCTGAACGCTAATGGGGTCTTAGACGACACTGAGAAGCTGTGCCTTCGTTTTAGGTGTGGTAAGGTCCTGCGCCTCTCAGAAGTGTGTGCGGACACAATGAGGATGTCTGGAACAAACTTCAGAATCACCCAGGTGGTGGGGAGGGACAAGAGGGTGAGGGCATGGATGGGAGCTCGCTTTGTTGCTTAGGCTGGACTTGAACTCCTGGCCTCAAGTGATCCCACCTCTGCCTCCCCAAACGCTAAGATAACAGCATGAGCCACCATACCCGGCACTCGTCTTGATAGTTGAATCCTTGCTCTAGCTGCTACTGATTTGTAAAGAGTAACAGTCAGGCTTTAATTCCGGCCAGCCAGGTGTCCCCACACCACCAACCTATTCCATCCTTTCCCTCCTTCTGAAATGCCCCTCTGCATGCAGTAAGTCCCCGACTGTCTTTGCCTGTTCCTGCATCTGCATCGCCTTTTCCGAGGCCTGTTCTAATTGCCCTCTCCTATGTCAGGCGCACTGCCCCGCTAGAAGGACCTGAATGACTGGGAGACCAGATCTGCTACCCTAGTCTACCCAACCACAGTGCTGGGATCAGAGTGGACATCAGTGATGGAGTGCAGAGGCGGGGTCGATCCCCAGCTGCCGCTCCCGCAAAGTCCCCGATGCCAAACTTGCACCCACCCATGGACTGGAAGCCTCCAGATTTCTTCTTTTTCTTGTTCTGGGCACGCACCATCTCCCGGGTGTCCGGCTCCACATCTGAGGTGCATTCTGAGGTGGGGAAGGTGGGCAGGGGTCTGCCAGGTCCCAGCTGGGAGGGAAGAACAGAGAGGCAGTGTCATTTCAGGCACAGTGGGATCACAGGGGGCAGGGAAGGGGGCTATGCTGTTGCCCTCTCTCCCCGATTCAAGCCAATGATGCTTCCGCCAGATCACATCACTTTTTTGCTAGTAAGTTCTCCTTTGGCTGGGCCAGGACAGGACAGAAGTCTGGAGTGGGGTCTGCAGATAGACTGTCTCGGTTTGAATCCCAATCCTGTCACTTACCAGCTGTGAGACCTGAGGGAAGGGACTTAATCTCCCTGAGCCTGTGCTTCCACACCTGGAGAATGGGGACAACAAGCAGAGGCCTCCCAGGGTGCTGTGAAGATCATATACATGGGTGAGTGTCAAACTTAGAAAGGTGCTTAGAAACGTGGTGGTATTATCACTATCATCATCACCACCATCAAAGCCCTCAAAATTAAATACCTGGCTGGCGCAGAGGCTCACGCCTGTAATCCCAACACTGGGAGGTCAAGATGGGCAGATCACCTGAGGTCAGGAGTTCAAGACCAGCCAGGCCAACATGGTGAAACCCCGTCTACTAAAGTACAAAAATTAGACAGCCATGGTGGTATGTGCCTGTAATCCCAGCCACTCAGGAGGGTGACGTGGGAGGATCACTTGAACCCGGGAGGTAGAGTTTACAGTGAGCCGAGATCGTGCCACTGCACTCCAGCCTGGGCAACACAGCAAGACTCTGTGTCAAAATAATAATAATAATAAAAATAAAAATTAGCCAGGTATGGTCACTTGCACCTGTAGCCTGGGTGACAGAAAGAAACCCTGTCTCAAAAAAAAAAAAAAAAAAGTAAACACATATTTTTTTTTAAGAGACAGGGTGTCACTCTGTCACCCAGGCTGGAGTACAGTGGTGCAGTAATGGCTCACTGCAGCCTTGAACTCCTAGGCTCAAGTGATTCTCCCACCTTAGACTTCTGAGTAGCTGGGACTACAGGCGTTATACTACCACACCTGGCTAATTTTTTAATTTTGTATTTTTTTTTTTTTTTGGTAGAGATGAGGTCTTACTACATTGCCCAGGCTAGTCTTGAATTCCTGGCCTCAAGCATTCCTCCCTTCGTGGCCTCCCAAAGTGTTGGGATTACAGGCATGAACCACCACACCCAGCCCCTAAATACTTTAAAGAGCCAATCAAAATGCCTACTACATGTGAAGTACTAGACTTTTCCAAGCTCTCCCGCCCCCTACCCCCACCCCACGAGCCGCCAACCAATCTCCTTTCTGATCTCTGGTCTGTCTTGTGCCTGGTCTCCTTTCTGCTCACCCAGGACCCACTTCTCCTGGCACAGCTAAATCCAATACAGACACCTCCTCTGGGGAACCTTCTTGGACTCCAGGGCTGCCCCCTTTCTCTTAAAAATAGCATTTATGGCCAGGCGTGGTGGCTCACGCCTGTAATCCCAGCACCGGGAGGCTGAGGTGGGTGGATCATTTATTTGAGCCCAGGAGTTTCGAGACTAGCCTGGGCAACATGGCAAAACCCCATCTTTACCAAAAAATTTTTAAAAAAAAGCATTTAAGGAGCAGCAATTCATAAGAGTGGCTGAAACTTACAAGGCCATGTACTGTAAGCTAGGTGCTGCTCTGAGAATTCATACAAATTAACCCACTTAATCCTCACAACAATCTGAAGTGGGTACTATTGTTCTGTCCATTTTACAGAGAAGGAAACTGAGGCACAGAGATAAAGTGACGTGCCCAAGGTCACACAGCCAGCACGTAGTAGGTGAGGGATGTGAACCCTGGCTTCAGAGACTGTGTTCTTTTCACTGTGACCCTCTAAGGTTGACTACAATCCTCTAGGGCAGAGCCATGGCCTGTCTTGAACGGTCTGCGAGTTTAGAACGGTTTTTACATTTTAAGGAGTTGCAGGAAAGGAAAAAGAAATCAAACAAAAAAGACAGTAATCTTATATGGCCCGATAAAACCTAAAAAAAAGATCTACCATCTGGCCCTTGATAGGTCGGTCAACCCCTGCTCTAAGCACATGAAAACAAGGTGCCTGGGACACATAGGCACCTGCAATAGCTACTGAACAGCATGTATGAACAGCATGTCCTTCGGTCTGTTTTTTTTTTTGAGACAGTCTCATTCAGTCACCCAGGCTGGAGTGCAGTGGCAGGATCTTGGATCACTGCAGCCTCCATCTCCTAGGTTCAAGCAATTCTCCTGTCTCAGCCTCCCAACTAGCTGGGACTACAGGCATGTGGACTACAGGCACGCGCCACCAGGCCTGGTTAATTTTTGTATTTTTAGTAGAGACGGGGTTTCACCATGTTGGCAAGGCTGGTCTCAAACTCCTGACCTCAAGTGATCCGCTCACGTTGGCACCCCAAAGTGCTCAGATTACAGGCATGAGCCGCCACGCCCAGCCTCCTTTCGTCTTTTCAACTTTTTTTTTTTTTTTTTTGAGACACAGTTTCACTCTGTTACCCAGGCTGGAGTGCAGTGGGGCAATCACAGCTCACCTAGCTCAGGTGATCCTCCTACCTCAGTCTCCCAAGTAGCTGGGAATACAGGCACACAGCACCATGCCCAGCTAATTTTTGTATTTTTTGTAGATGCAGAGTCTCACCATGTTGCCCAGGCTGGTCTTGAACTCCTGACATCAAGTGATCCTCACTCCTCCGACTCCCAAAGTGCTGGGATTACAGGCATGAGCCATGGCACCTGGCCAACAATCTTTGAAACATATATAATCATTTACTTGCCTTCTACAGATGTGGAAACAGTCACAGAGAAGTTAAGCAACCTCTCCAATGTCCCACAGCCAGTGCAAGGTTGGGCCAGATTTGAACACAGGGCGGTGCCGTGAGAACGCCCTTGGTCTGAACTACACACAGACTCCTCTTCTTTGGTACTCACTACCTCTGCCCACCTGTGCTGTTCATTACCTTTAGTAGTTTCTCTACATTTGTTGAGCACCTACTGTGTGCCAGGAACTGGCTAGGCTGGAAGGGGAGGGAGACGGTGGGATGAGGTCTCCTCCAGTTCCTGCCTTGGGGTTTGATCCTTTCTCTTCATATAAATGCCCACTTACTCATCTCCTTGCCCTGAGCCTACCTGGTGCCAGGCACCTGCTGGGAACAGGACTGTGGGAAATAATGGCCAAAACCCTTCTGCCCCGTTGGTGCTCACACCTGTCCCCTCATGTGCATACATGTAGCATTCAGTAATGGAAAGGGCACAGGCCTTGGAATCAGACAGTCCCAAGTTTGAATCTCCTGGCTCTTGTACTCACAAGCTGTAGGGTCTTGGTCAAGTTTCTTTCTTTCTTTTTTTTGTAAAGCTGGGATCTCCTTTTTGTGTGTGTGTGTGTGTGTGTGTGTGTGTGTGTGTGTGTGTGTGTGTGTAGCCACTGCTCACTGTAGTCTCTGCTTCCCAGGTTCAAGTGATCCTCCCATGTCAGCCTCTGTAGGAGCTGGGACCACAGGCAGGCGCCACCACGCCAGGCTAATTTTTTTTTTTTCTTTTTTGAGACAGAGTCTTGCTCTGTCACCCAGGCTGGAGTGCAGTGGTGCGATATTGGCTCACTGCAACCTCTGCCTCCCAGTTTCAAGCGATTCTCCTGCCTCAGCCTCCCAAGTAGCTGGGATTACAGGCGCGTGCCACTACAACTGGCTATTTTTGTATTTTTAGTAAAGACAGGGTTTCACCATGTTGGCCAGGCTGGTCTTGCACTCCCCACCTCAAGTGATCCGCCCACCTCGGCCTCCTAAAGTGCTGGGATTACAGGCTTGAGCCACTGCGGCCATCCTCATTTTTTAATTTTTTGTAGAGTCGGGGGCCTCCCTATGTTGCCCAGGCTGATCTTGAACTCCTGACCTCAAGCAATCCTCCCACCTCAGCCTCCCTAAGTGCTGGGTTTACAGGCGTGTAGCCACTACACCAGGCCTTTGACTATTTCTTAACCCTCGAGGCCTCAATTTCCTCCTGTGGAAAAATGAAGATGACAGTTGCCGGTGGTGGTAGCACAGCGTTGGTGTGAGGATTACATAATAAGGCTCGTACAGCTCTTAGCATGGAGCCTGGCACATAGTAAATGGTCAACAAACACAAACTGGCCGGGCTCATGCTAATTTTTAAATTAGCTTCCCAGAGGTTTGGGGGCGTCACTGTCTCAAGCCACGCAGTCCGTCCTCCCCTTAACTCAACCTCCCAAGAACGCTCCAAACTCTCAAAGTCAGATTTTCTGCACCGGCACTTTTCATTGGGCGAAAGGCAACCAGGATCCGCCCCATGTGCAGGAGGCAGCCAATGAGAGACGCGCGACCAAAACCCGGCAGGAAGGCCCCGCAGGCTCCAGCCGCGGGACCCTAAACCTGACAAGCCCCGAGACACGTGCTCAGGCCGGCGGTCCCAAGACCGGTCCTCGGGCTGGCAGCCTCCCTCCTCACTCTCTGCGGAGCCCACTCCCCAGCTGGGGAAACTGAGGCCTCGGGGCGCTGCCGGGAGCCGGGTCTCGGGCCCCAAAGTGCTTCCCAGCCCCACGCGCCTACCTTCTGGGCCCGGGCGTCATCTTCCGCCTGGATCTCAAACTCGCCGTCCTCCGAGTCGCTGCCGCGGGCCTGGGAGGCCGTGCCTCGGCGCTTCCGGAGCCCCTTCTTCTTCCTCCACTGGGCCATGGCAGCTCTCGACCGAGGGCCGGCCGCCGGGCGCCTGCCTGCCGCCATTCGGGCCTCGCGCTGGGAACGCAAAAGGGGGCGTGGCCTGCGGCGCGCACCAACTGCTTGGGGCGGGGAGGCGCGATGGCCATGTGACCTCGGCTGCGCTTTCGCCAGTGTCTGCGGCCCTGGGCGGCCTAGTACACCAGCCCCTGAGTGAGTGGCACCAGAGGCCCCTCGCCGTGTTTAGGTACTTCCTGGGCGTCAGGGGCGTGGCGCCCGCCCCTGGGCGGACTCCCCCCATCCCTTGGCGCGAATGGTCCGGGCCGCGTGCGCAGTGCAGCTGGCTGCTCCCTGTTTGCTGGGTGCTAGGTGCTGGGTTCTGGTTTTCTGGATGCGCGCGCCGCTCACACGTCGCCTGTGCCAGCTCCTCGGGTGAGTTGGTCCGCGCGCGGTGCCCCGGCACGGCCTGGGCTGCCGGCGGTCCGGGGCCCCGGGCATTCCGGGCTGCAGATTGACGCGGATCCCGGATGCACCGCGCTCCCCCGCGCCCTCGCCGGGGGGTCCAGATCTGGAGGGAAGAAGACGCGGGGAGGGGTCCTTGAGGACCCCGATGACTACGAACCAAGATGCTCAGGTAGGAGAAAGCTCAAAAATGCAGGGACCTCGGGCATTTTTTAATCGGGTCATTGAATTTGGGAGTCGCAGAATGTGGGGCAGTGGGGGCGGCGGTGATCTCCCGATAGCAGTGTAGCCAAGTACACAAGCTCTGGACTCAGATTTCACTTCCACCGTTTTAGCTTTATAGGTGTGACCTACACATGTGACTTCACCTCAGTTTTGTGATCCGTAAAATGGACAAATTCGAAGCTACTTCACAGTGCTGTTGAGAGGATTAAATGAAACAATGCTTGTAAAGCTCTTTGCAGGAGGTAGGCATGGAATCCACGCTGGCTGTCATTGCCCCCGCACCCATCAGTACACACAGGATATAGGAATGTGCCTGTCTCCCCTACCACCATAGTGCGTTTTCTGGTTGGTGCCTAAATGGGCACAGGTGTCATCTCTCCTTCACCCCCAGAGTCATTCTATAAATGATTGCCAGTAGCACCCCTTTCTCCACCATTTTGACAACTAAAAAAAAAGCCAAAAAAATTTCCAAAATGCCCCCTGAAGTTGACAGCTCCCCTTTGAGATATTGGTTGAGAGAGAACTAAACCCTTGGGATGAGAACTTCAGAGACTACCAGTATTCCTCCATTAGCACTGCTGTGGCTCAGGGGTGCTACTCTGACCTCTCACAGGGAGCCTCGGAAACAGGGCCTGGCCGGCAGAGCACACCTGCTGTCACCAGGGACCACAGGCAGCATGAAGAACCCTGTGGGGCTCGCCGTCAGTGGGATGCAGACCCTCCGCCTTCAGCACCGCTGCCGGGGTGGCTACCGGGTCAAGGCCAGAACGTCGTATGTGGATGAGACTCTGTTTGGCAGCCCAGCAAGCACCCGGCCTACCCCACCAGACTTTGACCCGCCCTGGGTGGAGAAGGCTAACAGAACCAGAGACGTGGGCAAGGAGGCATCGAAGGCCTTAGGGGCAAAGGGGAGCTGTGAGACCACCCCCTCAAGGGGCAGCACCCCGACCCTCACTCCAAGGAAGAGGAACAAATACAGGTAATGGGGTAGGGAGGTACAAATCCTGTACTCAGTGCAGCCACCTGGATTCCAGTTACAGCCCTGATGTTCACCTACTCTGTGACCTTGGGCAAGCATCTTGACCTCTCTGAGCCACAGTTTACTCATGTGGAAAATAGGACCAATGATTCCTACCTAGGGGAATTGTTGATGGATTAAATGAGAGAGGGGCCTGCAGCACTTCGCACAGTAACCTAATACTTAGCTGTCAATAAATGGTAGTGTTGATGGTTGTGATGGTGGACTTCCTATCCCCAAATGTCACAAACTGGGCATCTGAGGCCCAGAGGAGTCAACTGATGCATAAGATCACAGAGAAGTTTGCATAAGGTTATTAATATTAATATGATCGATCCTTGAAATGGCATAGATGTGGTGTTTCTCAAGTCATTCTGAAAATGGGTTTTGGCTCGGTGGGGTAGCTCATGCCTGTAATCCCAGCACTTTTAGAGGTTGAGGTGGGATCACTTGAGCTCAGGAGTTTGAGACCAGCATGGGCAGTGTGGTGAAACTGTGTCTTTACAAAAAATACAAAAATTTGCCAAGTGTAGTGGTGTGCGCCTGTACTCCCAGCTACCTGGGAGGCTGAGGTAGGAGGATCGCCTGAGCCCAGGAGGCAGAGATTGTAGTGAGCCCAGATCACGCCACTGCACTCCAGCCTGAGTGACAGAGTGAGACCCTGTCTCAAAAAAAAAAACAAAAAAAAAATTGAAAGTGGGTCTTGCTGCATTTTTATGAACAAGTTAGAAAAATAGGAACTAATGCAAATTGTCATTGTTGTTAATTAATTAGATTAGAATTAGATTATTTGGACTGTTTCAGATTAATATCAGCCTGGAGGGAGGTGTCTAGTGGTGAGCCACAGGACTCTGTCCTGTTTATTGTTTACAGTGGTTTGGACAAAGACACAGAAGATGGCTGGGCGTGGTGGTTCACGCCTGTAATCCCAGTACTTTGGGAGGCTAAGGTGGGCAGATCACGAGGTCAGCAGATCGAGACCATCCTGGCTAACACGGTGAAACCCTGTCTCTACTGAAAATGCAAAAAAATTAGCTGGGCGTGGTGGCTGGCGCCTGTAGTCCCAGCTACTTGGAAGGCTGAGGCAGGAGAATGGCGTGAACCCGGGAGCTGGAGCTCACAGTGAGTGGAGATCGCGCCACTGCACTCCAGCCTGGGCGACAGAGCGAGACTCCATCTCAAAAAAAAAAAAAAGAAACAAGACAGAAGATTAGCACAGTAGTTGGCTAGGGCCACGATGACAAAATACCACAGACTGGGTGGCTTAAACAACACAAATTTTTTTTTTTTTTGAGAAGAGTCTCGCTCTGTTGCCTAGGCTGGAGTGCAGTGGCACGGTCTTGGCTCACCACAACCTCCACCTCCCGAGTTCAAGCAACTCTCCTGCCTCAGCCTCCCAAGACTACAGGCACACACCACCATGCCTGGCTAACTTTTTTTTTTTTTGAGATGGAGTTTCGCTCTTGCTGCCCAGGCTGGAGTGCAATGGAGCTATCTCAGCTCACTGGAACTTCTGCCTCCCAGGTTCAAGCGATTCTCCTGCCTTACCCTCCCGAGTAGCTGGGATTATGCTGGCTATTTTTAGTAGAGATGGGGTTTCTCCATGTTGGTCAGTCTGGTCTTGAACTCCCTACCAGGTGATCCACCTGCCTCGGCCTTCCAAAGTGCTGGGATTACAGGTGTGAGCCACTGCGCCTGGCAATTTTTGCATTTTTAGTAGAGATAGGGTTTCACTATGTTGGCCAGGCTGGTCTCGAACTCCTGACCTTGTGATCCGCCCGCCTTGGCCTCCCAAAGTGCCAAGATTACAGGCGTGAGCCACTGCACTTGGCCATAACACATATTTATTTTGTCACAGTCTGGAGGCTGGAAGCCCAAGATCAAGGTGTTGGCGGGTTTGGTTTCTCCTGAGGCCTCTCTCATTGGCTTGCAGTTGGCCACGTTCTCACAGTGTCATCATAGGGCCTTTTCTCATTTTTTTTTTTTAATCCTTCAATTACATGCAAGGGCCTTTTCTGTATACACACACACCCCTGGTGTCTCTTCCTCTCATAAGGACACCAGTTCTATTGGATTAGGATCCCCCACCCTTATAACGTTATTTAGCCTTAGTTACCTTTTTTTTTTTTTTGAGACAGAGTCTGGCTCTGTTGCTCAAGCTGGAGTGCAGTGGCGCCATCTCGGATCACTGCAGCCTTTGCCTCCCAGGTTCAAGGAATTCTCCTGCCTCAGCCTCCTGAGTAGCTGGGATTACAGGTGCACGCCACCATACCCGGCTAACTTTTGTATTTTTAGTAGAGACGGGGTTTCACCGTGTTGGCCAGGCTGGTCTCAAACTCCTGAGCTCAAGTGGTTCGCCCGCCTCTTGCTTTCCAAAGTGCTGGGATTATAGGCGTGAGCCACCGCATCTGGCCAGCCTTAATTACCTTTAATTAATCTGAATAAGGCCAAGTGTAGAGACATTTGGGGTTAGGGCTTCAACATATGAATTTGGGTGGGCACAATTCAGTCCATAAGAACTGGCCAACTAAATTTAAGGTTCATTCTGAGCCACAGGGACATATTTCAGATGACAGAAATGAAATGAGAATGGGAATGATGCCTATTATAAAAACAAGAATCAGTTTTTGCCAGTTCTGTAGACAAGGCAGGGTCAGGTGGAGATCAGCAACACTGATACCTACAACATGGCTGAAAACACTGAGAAAACACTGAGGTAAAGATAGGCTGCATTAACGGAAGTATGGTGTCCATGAAAAGGGAGGTGCCAACTCCCTGCTCACCTGGAGGATGGAATTTTCTTCTGGATGCCAACAGGTAGAGGGTGTCAAGTGAGGGGTTGCATAAGAGGTAGAGAAGTTACTGAGCAAAAACCTTGGCACCAGACATATGCAGGCATTAGCCAATGTGGTTTGAGCAGCTAAACCAAGTGGCAAAAGGTTGCCCTTTCAAAGACTTGCAGTTTGGGGATAGAAACACTTTCAGTCCTGGCCAAAAACTATGGGCATGGAATCTTGCAGGTATGCCATGAATATCTGTTGAATTAAAAAAAAAAAAAAAAAAAATAGGCCAGGCAGGCTGACTCAGGCCTGTAGTCCCAGCACTTTGGGAGGCTGAGGTGGGAGGATCGCTTGAGCCCAGGAGTTTGAGACCACCCTGGGCAACATAGTGAGATCCCTGTCTCTACAAAAAATAAAAATATTAGCAGGGCATGGTGGCGCATACCTGTAGTCCCAGCTACTCTGGAGGCTGAAGTGGGAGGATTACTTGAGCTCAGGAGTTCGCGGCTGCAGTAAGCTATGATTGCACCACTGCACGCCAGCCTGGGTGATGGAGTGAGACTCTGTCTCTTAAAAAAAAAAAAAGAAAAGAAAAAAAAAGGCCAGGTGCGCAGTGACTCTTGCCTGTAATCCCAGCACTTTGGGAGGCCGAGGTGGGTGGATCACGAGGTCAGGAATTCAAGACCAGCCTGGTCAACATGGTGAAACCCCGTCTCTACTAAAAATACAAGAATTAGCCAGACGTGGTGGCACACACCTGTAATCCTAACTACTCAGGAGGCTGAGGCAGGAGAATCACTTGAACCCAGGAGGCAGAGGTTGCAGTGAGGTGAGATCGCACCACTGCACTCCAGCCTGGGTGACAGAGTGAGACTCCGTCTCCGGAAAAGAAAGAAAAAGAAAGAAAAGAAAATGGGCACAGTGGCTCACTCCTGTAATCCTAGCACTTTGGGACGTTAAGGCAGGGGGTTGCTTGAGATCGGGAATTCAAGACCAGCCTGAGCAACATAGTGAGATCTGATCTCTACTGGAAAAAAAAAAAAAAAAATTATCTGGGCTTGGTGGCACCATGCCTGTAGTCCCAGCTACTAGGGAGGCTAAGGTGAAAGGATTGCTTGGGCCCAGGAATTTGAGATTGCTGTGATCTGTGATTGTGCCACTACACTCCACTTGAACGACAGAGTGAGACCATGTCTCACAAAAAAAAAGAAAAAGTGGAGGCTCTAAAGACTAAGGTTATACTAATTGTGACTCTCGATTGCAAATGACAGAAAACTTATTCAAACTGGCTTTCCCAGGAGAAGGCATTTGGGGCTCCTGTAAGAGGGGCTCAAACTGTGGCTGGAACTGTCTGTCTCCACCTTAGTGCTACTTTTCCCTGCATGCCGTTCAATCTCCAGTAGGAAGGAGATGGCCACAAACTGCTTTGGGCTGACATCCTATCAGCTTAGCAAGAAGTAAAGTCAGGTGGCAGAAAAACATCTCTTTCCTAGTAGTTTCTGCAAATGTCCTAAGGCAGATTCTGATTGGAGAGGCTTGGGTCATCTGGCCATTCCTGAACCAATCCATGTGGCCAGGAGGATGGAATATGCAAATTGTCCAGGCCTGGGGCACATGCCTGGGAATTGGGTCAGGATGCAGGGGCAGTGGATGTTTCGCAAGGTAAAATCAGTGGAGACCAGGGACAGTGGTGCCACAGAAGGCTGTGGCCTCGCTATAGGTTTCAGACTGGGAGACAGGGACTCCTGGGATCTGCAGGGAACCCTCCTCTGCTGCTGCCAGTGCCTGGGGATGGGTGGGAGAGCTGTTAAAGTTTTGAGGGGTTGTTCATCCCCCCGCTCATGGCGTTTATCTTCCCTTTGCCAGACTGATCAGCCACACCCCGTCTTACTGTGATGAGTCGCTGTTTGGCTCCCGATCTGAGGGCGCCAGCTTCGGGGCCCCGCGGATGGCGAAGGGGGATGCCGCAAAGCTCCGTGCTCTCTTCTGGACACCACCAGCTACCCCCAGGGGTAGCCACTCGCCCCGCCCCAGGGAGGCCCCACTGCGAGCCATTCACCCAGCTGGTCCCTCCAAGACAGAGCCGGGGGCGGCGGCAGACTCCCAGAAGTTATCCATGGATGGGTTACACTCTTCATGCCCCCTGAGGCGGGGACTTTCCCATTCCCTCACCCACCTGAATGTCCCCAGCACTGGTCATCCAGTCACCAGTGCCTCCCACACAAATGGGCCTCAGGATCTCAGGCCTTCCACATCAGGGGTGACCTTCCGGAGCCCCCTGGTGACTTCCAGGGCTCGCTCAGTTAGCATTTCAGTGCCAGCTACCCCACGACGAGTTGGGGCCACCCAGAAAGCAAAGCCCCCTTGGAAATGATACTCTTTCATCAGGGTTGCCTATGGGGCCACAGCGAGAGGTGTAGCCCCTTGCCAGGGTAGGAGGACATTCATCACCCAGGGAACCCCAGGTGTGAAGCCCCTGTGGGGGCAGACAGACATAGCAGGGGTGGGCAGTGCCTCCCTTTATCCTGACAATCTCTAGTCGATTCCTGCCTTTTTCTCCCGATTGCGGATGTGGGGGCCACCTCTAAGATGCCGTCTCCAGCCCTGTCTCAACCACACTCCAAATTAGTGCCAACCTAGGGGCCTGGCACCTCCCACATCATCCATTTTCTTGCTGCCAAGTGCAAATAAATGGTGTAATTGCCAACCTGGAGGGTCCCCTCTCCTTCAAGCCAAGCTTCCTGCTCAGGATTAGTTTCCAACTGAGTCTGCAAGCCCTAGAGGAGTTTTCCCAGACTCTGTGTGAAGCCTGGAGAACACAAGGGCAACTGCGAGATTTTTGAGTGAACATTGTTTCATCTTAATATGCTTCTGTATTTATTTTCATGTACTAAATATATCAGCTTATCAAAGCCATGAATGTTCCTTTTTTTTCCCCCTTAGGGTAAAGGCCATTGTTAAGCCTGAGTTGATTTAAATAACAAAGTTAAATACAACAGGTAGTACAAGGATGTGGCAGACAACATGACAGTGGTGAGTGGGTGACTGAAGTTTGGGAACCCGGGGCCTCAGGAATTGCTGGACTCTTCCTCCCATAGGCTTCTGGCTAATGCTACTAACTTGTGGTTGGCCAGCTCTTCCTGAGCTCAGAATACAGACAATAGTATTTTTTTAGTTTTGTTTTTAAGTTTGTATGTGTGTGTGTGTGTTAAGGTGGGAAATAAAACAATGGCTAGGACTATGCCAAGTGGAGGGTCCAAGAAAGCCAGACAGTGACACGTGTGTCTGCAGAGCACTTAGAATGCAGCCCAGGGCTTAGGAAAAGCAGCAAAGCCTTTGCACAGATGGAATTGCACCTGGATTGGGCAGTGTGGGCTGGGCTCTGGGCCTCTCCTTGCCCCCGTCTTCCTGTAAGGCACCTCCAGGAGGCACCAGGATTCTAGGGAGTCCAGTTGGAAGCCACATCATCCGTTTGGTATGTCTGCCTTGGGGCAGGGAAGAGTGGACACTGCTGGGGAGGGAGATCTGCAGTGCCCAGGACCAGGGACACACGGAAATGCCTATGGGGTCAGGCAGGCCAACTGCGCTCTCATGTAAACGCTTTGTTTTTTGGGTTTTTGTTTGTATGTTTGTTTGTTTTTGGTGATTCTTTTGTTTGGTTTTGTTTTGTTTTTTAAGACACAGGGCCTCGTTTCCTTGCCCAGGCTGGAGTGCAGAGGTGCGATCATAGCTCACTGCTGACTTGACCTCCCGGCTCAAGCCATCCTCCGCCTCAGCCTCCTGAGTGGCTGGGACTACATGAATGTGCCACCGTGCCCAGCTAACTTGTTTTAAAAAATTTTTTGGACCGGGCGCGGTGGCTCACACCTGTAATCCCAGCTTTTTGGGAGGCCGAGGCTGGTGGATCACGAGGTCAGGAGTTCGAGACCATCCTGGCTAACATGGTGAAACCCCGTCTCTACTAAAAATACAAAAAATTAGCTGGGCGTGGTGGTGGGCGCCTGTAGTCCAAGCTACTTGGGAGGCTGAGTCAGGAGAATGGCGTGAACCCTGGAGGCAGAGCTTGCAGTGAGCCGAGATCATGCCACTGCACTCCAGCCTGGGCGACAGAGTGAGACTCCATCTCAAAAAACAAAAATTTGTAGAGAGGGATTTCATTCCTTCCAGTAAGAAACAAGAAAAAAGGGGAAAAAAAAGAGTCACAAGTGGGCTGGTCTCAAACTCCTGGCCTGAAGTGATCCTCCTGCTTCAGCCTCCCAAAGTGCTGAGATTACAGGTGTGAGCCACCTTGCCCAGCTGCAATGTGCATTTTAAACATATAGAATGTTTAAGCTTCCTAGAACTTTCACAAACAATTAGTTACCTATGCCCAACTCAGCTTTTCCTGAAACATCCATTTCTCTTTTGCCTTCCCATCTTCCCCTTAGTTTCCATAGACATAGGCCAGAAATACCTCTCTTTCCTGGCTGGGCATGGTGACTCACGCCTGTAATCCCAGCACTTTGGGAGGGGGAGGCCAAGGTGGGTGGATCACTTGAGGTCAGGAGCTTGAGACTAGCCTGGCAAACATGGCAAAACCCTGTTTCTACTAAAAATACAAAAATTAGCCAGGCATGGTGGCGCATGCCTGTAATCCCAGCTACTCGGGAGGCTGGGGCAGGAGAAATCACTTGAACCTGGGAGGCAGAGGCAGTAGTGAGCTGAGATCCAACCAGTGCACTCCAGCCTGAGCAACAGAGCAAGACTCTTCAAAAACAAAAAAACAAAAAACAAAAAACTCTTTCCTCCCAACTACAGTAAAATCTGGCAATAGCCCGAGGTAACACTAAAGGGTAACTGACACCAGGCTGTGGTGTATGTAAGGCAGTTGGGGGTGGTGAGGACGGGGGCAACTTACTCTCTACCATCTAAAGGGGGCTGCTGCTGCTGAGCCCTAGAAGACGTACAAGCCTGGGATATCTGGATGATTCGATTTTTTTCCAGGAAAGGGAGAGTGCTGGATTTCTATGTGGTGGCCCTCAGTTTTTTAAATGCTGACAAATAATTTAAAAATAATTGTCCAGGCCAGGTGTGATGGCTCATGCCTGTAATCCCAGTACTTTGGGAGGCCTAGGCAGGAAGATTGCTTGAGGCCAGGAGTTTGAGACCAGCCTGGGCAACACAGTGAGACCCTGTCTCTCTAGCCACCTTTTTTTGTTTGTTTTGTTTTATTTAGTCTTGCTGTGTCACTCAGGCTGGAGTGCAGTGGCACAATCTCAGCTCACTGCAATCTCCACCCTCCCAGACTCAGGCAATCCTCCTACCTCAGCCTCCCAAGTAGCTGGGACTACCAGCATGTGCCACCATGCTGGGCTAATTTTTTTATTTTTTATAGAGACAAAAAATAAAACATGGGGTTTTGCCATGTTTCCCAAGCTGGTCTCAAACGTCTGAGCTCAAGTGATCTATCTGCCTGCCTCAGCCTCCCAAAGTGCTGCGAGTACAGGTGTGAGTAACCACGACTGGCCTAAACATTTTTTACATTTAAAAAAAAAAGAAAGTATTTTCTGACGTTTTCCTGAAGCAGGTCATAAGACTCTCATGTGAGGCCGGGCGCGGTGGCTCAAGCCTGTAATCCCAGCACTTTGGGAGGCCGAGACGGGCGGATCACGAGGTCAGGAGATCGAGACCATCCTGGCTAACACGGTGAAACCCCGTCTCTACTAAAAAATACAAAAAACTAGCCGGGCGAGGTGGCGGGCGCCTGTAGTCCCAGCTACTCGGGAGGCTGAGGCAGGAGAATGGTCTAAACCCGGGAGGCGGAGCTTGCAGTGAGCTGAGATCCGGCCACTGCACCCCAGCCTGGGCGACAGAGCAAGACTGTCTCAAAAAAAAAAAAAAAAAAAAAAAAAAGACTCTCATGTGAGAGGTGCCCTCCCTATACCCAGAGGAAAGTTATATCCTTATTTCTGAAGACACAGGGACACAGAGAAGAATCTAAACACACAGGTCTTGCTAAATTTCCCCCAGCTTATTACCAGTAGATCATACCTTTTCTGCCCTATTATGTATCACCACAACTATCTACTCTTAATCAAATGTAGCGTAAAACACACAGGCTTAACTGTTTCTTCAGGTCTACATTTCCTCATGAAGGCTCCGGTGTCATGTAAAACTTACTAATTAAATCAATTTATATGCTTTAAAAAAAAAAAGTTGTTTTAAATAATTGTTCAGCTCCCTGGAATGTGAAGCTGAGGGCTGCTGTGACCTCAGGACTCCCTCTGAGCTTTCACAGTGCTGGAGCGGGGGAAGTTGCAGGCAAATTAATCCCAGAACAGGGTTGGGGGCAGCCTGAAACCTGAGGCCCTGCCCCTCCTGGAGTTCCCTGCCTGCTTCTGTGCCCTCTATGGGCAGCTGGGACCCACACCCCACTGCCCTGGTGTGTGATGTGTCCATCATGGCCATGGCAGCTTCCGGGCTGCAGCTGGGGTCTGGTTGCCCAGTAAGGCTGAAGTAAGGAACCATCATCTCCGGGCTGACACCCCAGGCTGCACGCTCCTCGTGGAAACGCCATCTGTGAGCTGGACACACAGCCCACAGCCCTGGATAAAGAGATTTATTCATAGAGCGTTCCCTTCAATGCGGCTTCAAATACTTTTTAATTTATTAAATAAAAACATCATGAAAGCCATGAATCTAGTGCTCTCTATCCCGGTGGCTTCCTGGCCTGGTCTCTGGGAGGATAAGGGTCAGTAGCAGGCTGGGGTGGAGAGCTCATTTCTTGCCTTTGCCCTTCTCCTTGCCTTTCTGCTTGCCCTTCTCCTTGCCCTTTGCTTTGCCCTTGCCCCGCTTCTTCTTGGATCTGAGCAGGGAGCGCACCAGGTATCCCTTCCAAAAGGCCTGGATTAACGTGGCCGCCCGCACCATGCGCACCATCTCCTGCTCCGCCTCCATCCTTTTCTTGGAGTTGATCTCTCGTTCTTCCCGGATCTGCACAAACTCTTCCACCAGCACTTTGTGCCTCCGCTTCAGCTCCTCCAGAGCGATCTTCTCCTCCTTGTGAACAGCTTCCAGATCCTCCAACTCCTCCTGGGGCGAGGGGTGGGGCTGGGGTCACCATGCATAGAGCGCCTCCTCCCACCCTCCTCCCTGAGGCCCCCCACCCTTCCCAAATGGGCTTCTGCCCCAGCGATGCCCCTAAGCTAAGCTGTTCAGCATCTCGGTCCCAGTGAGGTGGATGGGGAGAGGGGATTGGCTCCATCCCAGCTCTAGGAAAGACCCCACTGAAATAATTTCAGGAACAGGAAAAGAACACGGGCTTGTGAATTGGGCAGACTTAGTTTTAAGTCCCAGCTCTGCCACACCTCAACTGACTTCACCTTTCAGGCTTTCGTTTTTCCTCATCTGAAACATGAGGACGATTCCAAACCCAGGGGCTGTTTCTAGGATTAAATGACCCAATGGACACAATGTACTGGACATGATGCCAGGCACATAGTGGGGACACAAGAAATGGAGGCTGCTGCCATAAAAGCAGTCTGTTCCACAAGACACCAGAGGAGAAGGAACTTTCTCAAGCTTCAAACGGAGTTCCAGAGTTTTTCCTTATGTCTAACCATAGCCTCTCCTGCTGTCATTTACACCTGTTTTCCTTCCTTCCACTGACGTTTACCCAGCATCTACAAAAAGCAGAGCACTGCCAGAGAACACAGAGCTGGGTGGACAAGGTCCCTGCCCTCAACCAACCCACAACCCTCATGCGGCCCAGAGAAACGAGAGTCCCAGCCTGCAAAGCTCCCCTCTCCAGGCCCTGACGGTTGCCCAGGACAAGATTCTGACTTGCCCTTCTCTGAAGAGCACACCTGGCTTTGGCTCACTCTGGCTCATGTTACCTCCAGTGCTCCCCAGGCTTCTCTGGCCTCTGGGTTGGAGCC